TCAAACAAGTCAGTGTAACAATATTTGCTATAAAATACTAACCCGCCAATCCATCTGTTTCTGAAAATTACAGCAAAAGCAAGTGAGTGTAAATTCCTTTAGGTCTACCATGTGAGGTTGCGGTACTTGTCCTTAGGCAGGTCACGTTGTTGCCAAATTGACTATCCCCATCTAGGGGTAGAAAGTTTACCTGTGAGGGCAGGGATGGTAATTGTGTTCGCATCAGCCGTCTCCGCCGAAATGGCAGAAAGGAGATGTACGCTCTTCATAAATCTGAGATGGTCTCAGAAATGTTTTATTGGCCCAGTGAGCTGGGGTAATATGATGAAAAACGCTTACACCCCCGTTAAAGTGGCTATTTGAATATCACTTATTAACACACCTGCTATTTAAACAGTCAAAGACGTCCAAATTTTTTTCTACTTCCCCTGCTATACTTTTAACACAGGCTAGTCACAAGCAGTCAGATCATAATCAAGCAAGCACTGTGACCAGTCAAACTCAGTCAACAGACTATGAACAGACAAAGCGGGCGCCAGTGGCATATCAATTACCCACAATCAAAGCATAGTTGTATCAAGTTACTTAAACAGTGCCAGCCAGTCAATCCTGTTTTTTGTAGGTTAGGAATTCTTAACTTTTGAAAACAGTCACTTGATTGATTGATTTTGACTGAAAGGACTACTTGCATATAGGAGGGTTACTTTATAACGTTACTTTAAAACATCATGTGAAAGTTTAGAAGCTTTGTGAAATAATTGCGGCTTCTTTGAAAAGGTCTGCGCCAGCTCATGCACCCTATGTCCCTTAGCCACCCAGAATTGACGGTGTATTTTATCAACCGGCGGAAATACACCTGCACCATGCCGAGCGTAAAGCCTTTTTCTTGTCTTCGTAACTGTACGGATCCGCGAGAGTGGCGCGTCAGCCGCCTCGGGCCCGGACGAGCGGGTTATATCCGGCTTATACACTTACATATCCGCCCCATCGTGGCGTTTGCAGCCTTATTTCTTTCTGTGAACAGGTGTGGTCAATCATCGTAATACGCATGAGCAAGGCATATCATGTGACCTGGGTTTATTTGGCGTATTTGGCGTATCTGAAGTATGACTCGGCAGGATTTAATATTTAAGAAAACTTAGATCCGAAAACCATTCTATTGACGAGTGACGCATGTGCGCGTGCTCATCAGTAACTATACCTATACCTGGGAGCTGGATGTATATTCCCCACCAATACTGCAATTCTCCGTGGATTAGGTCATATCTTTTTAACAGCGACGACTGTTATCCCAACTTAGTCTGGCCATCAATTCAGCAGGTTATTAAAATAGTTGCAGGCGGTGCGGTACTTTAATAAATACAGGGACGTTTAAATGAAAACAAATTCTACCTGTTGGTTTCCACGATATTGATTTATGCCCGGTGTACAACATGCTACTGCAGGCACTATTTTGTTATTACGACTAAAACATTTCTTCTTCAACATTTCTAGTTTAACTCAGTGAAAAATATTGCTGGAGATAAAAAGGGAAACATGGGAATATTAGCCTAGCGCTGAACGAGTCTATAACCGTCAAGGGATGTAAGTGGGCTCTGACATTTTTATAGGAAATTTGAGGCACGCGAGCAAAATAATTATAGTCCCTACATGTACACATCCATACTGCGCCAATATGTGATCTCTAATAATAAAAAAGTCTGATACCCTGTACAGTATATCGTTATATGCCTGACTGTCACATTAAATATACTCTCCACTGTACGGGAAAAATAGGTTAAGTAAGATGATTCATACGAGGTTGATAAATGAATATACAAACTAGTACTTTGTTTATAATCTTTTGATACAAATGGAAGTGGTATTTAAAAAGTGAATTATGAAACCACATCAGTTAGTTTTACCTGCGATGTCAATTGATTTTCGAGCGTGGATCTGTAAGCGAGGTTATATATTTGAAGATCCGTTCTCCTGTAGTAAAACACCCAAAAAAATGAAATGAAATGTCAGTTAAGGTTTCAATTTGCAACATTTTACAAGGGACTAGTTCAAACAAAATTCGGCCTATAGAGTTGTATTGGGCATTTTCTTATTTTACTTTTCGTGTTGAGCTTTTAACTGTGATTCACAATGAACTGAAATGTCCGTAGCGTGACAATCAAATGTCCCTACTTGCTATGCACTGTAGTACAGATCCAAGAAACAAAAACAGAGCATAGACAGTACACATCGCGCAGTACTAATTTGAGACCTACTTTTCGTTTCTGGCAGCCGAAGGGCTCAGGACTCGAGATTCTGGTTGTGGGTCTGGCATACTTCTGTCGTAGGGTAATGTCGCCACGTCACCGAGGCGAGACATCAAATTGAAGTGGGGACACTGAGGGCGGAGAGCGCTGCTCACTCTCCGCAGGCAAAGCAAGCGTGGAACACATAACACACATTCCTCAGACGACTGTTTGCCTAATACTCGAAACGCGGACCTCGTTTAGTGAGCGCTGGAAACGTTCGTGAAACTAGACTCAATTCGAGCCGTTTTAATAGTCCGTATTCACGATCTTTACTGGACAGGAGGGTTTATCACACGGCTCGTACGTTGAGGTACATTTCGCTTTGCGGCGATGTGCTTTGTTTTAAACGTTTTAGGGTGTTGCAAGGACGTCCACAATAAGACAGCGGCAGAAACAAGGTTTACACAACAACCGTTGTACTGAACTTCCGTAAATGCGGTTTTAGTTTGACAGCATACTTACACAATGCTGTTTTGGCACACATGGCGTGATCAAATCAGTTTGTATACAACTCAAAAAAGGACAGTCGAAAAAAGAAAGAAAATTTTTGTCACTAAACACATAAATTTGGTACTTTTTGTATACCCAAAAACATTAAACCAAAGTCATGCTAAACCAAAATAAAAAATTTTCAAAGTAGCAACCACAGTCAGGTTGCAAAACAACTGAAACCAAGCCGTTGGATTTTCAAAATTAGGCTTCGGATCGGATGACCGAAATCATATAGAAAACCTTCAAAAGCAGCAGCGACCGCGGTGCAGACTGTAGTCTCGCTCATAATTGCGCCGTCTTTATTGTATCTACGGCGGGCGGGCAGGAGTGTTTCATGATTCAAAGCCGGAAGCTGGCAAGGGGGTAACGGTTCCGGGGGCGCGAATTAGCCTAGATCTCGATCAGCTCGGTTGCTTTCTTTCAAGATGGAGGGCTGATACAAGAGATGGAGATGACAAACTAAGTCGAGGTTAATGATCACTGCACGTAAGGCCTGACCTTTTTGTTCTAATTCATCAAGCGACCAAATTTGCTCTCAGTATTCTGGTGTGATGTTTAAGTTCTGGCTGGAGCATCTACATGCCACTTCGTGGTTGGTTGGTCGGTCGGTCGGTATAGGTCTGTCCCCGGAAAATTGACCAAAAACGGGCCCCGTAAGTTTCCCATACAAGTATAACTATCAATTGACCAAAAATTGACCAAATGCAATAATGGACTCTTGGCGAAAGTTTATGGAACACGCCACTTTGTCTCGATCGATGCGCATGCGCGTCTATTTTGCACATGAAATGCGACAGCTTATTGTCTAATTCATCAAGCGACCAAATTTGCCCGAGTGCACACACTCGGGCTTTTTGTTTTGTTCAAGTGCACATGATCTACTGCATCTCGTTTCGTGCAATACTTGTTACACTTGAGAAGCTTTGCCGGTAGACCTGAGACACAAGGAAGCCATTTTGGATCGTGTTCCCTGAATCTATTTAACAAACTGTAAACTGTTGATCGGGATGGTGCCAGACTATTTTTTTTTAATTGGAGTGCGTTCTCAAGCCTCACTTTCAATTTTGTTTAGTAATGTGGCTCAAAATATTAGGGAATGTTTATCAGAAATTGTAAATTATTAAATTATTCATCAGTGAGAGCAGACTGGTATTAACTTGTAATGAGCTTTTTTTTCATTGATTTCATTTCTACTGGCAAGTTCCAAAAATGAAGATTTACCTCGCTTTCAATTTCATATGGCCGACTCGTGAATAAAATCTATTATTGCTGGTCCCAGAGGGACCACTTATTCTTAACTTCTTTGTACCTGACTGACTGACTGACTGATTGTGACTCGTGAATTAGACTTGCTTTAATCACAACTTGACCCATGTTTAAAATAGGATTGAATGTACCCCGTAATGCCAATTACTTTAGTAAACTTTCGGACCTTTAGTAAACTTTAAGCATTTTTTGCATGTGTTATTCTGCCCACATTAAACAGTTTGTCAACACTTTTACACACCAATCACCTTTCAAGAGATACACATTCAGTGTAGAAGAGAACCATTTTCTGGAAGCTGGAAGCTGGAAGCTGGAAGCACGCGACCACAACATCCAATTTTTAAACAAAATTACATGGTCTATATCCGGCCATTTGTGTAGGCCACATGCATGAGAACTTCCAGTGAGTAGCTCAAATACATATATATAGGCTTCGCCAGTACGCGCTGACAGCTTGTGGTAACTTTTCCTCACCAGGCAGTCTGGTTACCACTTTTACATTGTTTCTTTTTCTTCATATGAGATGTTCCGGAGTGTCTCCGTGTCCACTCTAGGAGCCATAGCCGTGGATAGACATCTGGCTTATGCAAGCCATGGATAGATATCTGGCTAACATTTTCCTTTCCTTGCCACAATCAATACATTGCACGCCAGTGACAGTGTTTCTTTTTTACTTTTCTAGGAAGTGTCCCTGCATGAGTGTTGCCGTGTACACTCTGGCGGTCATAACGTGGATAGATATCTTGCTATTATGCAGGCCACTCAAGTTTTGAGTTTCTTTTATTCTTGTTGTTTCTAGGAAGTGTCCCCGAGAGTTTGCGCGTACACTCTGACGCTCACAGCGTAGATAGATATCTGGCTATATGCAGGCCACTAGAGTTTTCTCTTTTCCTCGCCATATTATATACTTCGCTCGCCACTGACAGTGTTTCTTTTTATTCTTGTTGGTTCTAGGAAGTGTCCCTGAGTGTTTCCGTGTACACTCTGGCGGCCATAGCCGTGGACAGGTACCTGGCCATATGCAGGCCACTCAAGTTCCACATCCGGGCCTCTCGCACCCTGTTCATCGTGGCCGCCATCTGGATCCTTTCCTTCGCCATTATGGCCCCTCAGGCCGTGTTCTACGGCTTGGAGACGCACCTGGCTGGCGAGATTATCGGCAAACCCGTGTGGATGACCCAATGCCTCGAGGTAATTGGTTATTGTTATTATAATTACGGGAAATAGGTCATTTGGGAGACATCCCTATAGACTTGTGCACAAAATTTGTCAAACTTCAATGTACCCTAACCCAATATTCCCTTGCCCCTTTTCCACGAATTTCGGTATGTTTACTAATTAGACTACGAGCAACAAATACAATCTAATTGCGACATTACAATTTTGCCTCTAAAGGGGGCTGCCACATTAGGAAGACATGAAAATGTCTCCCTAATGACCGATGTCTCCCATCGTGCGAAGACATTACGATAACGTGTCTCCTTAATGGTACCTTTACACGTATTATTATTATTATTAACTATTTTGTATTTAGCCATTACAATCAACAAGACATAACTTGCAGTTATACCAGTACATGCACAAACACTGGGTTAATACGATTGATACAAGAAAAAGAGTAAAACAGAGATGGAGACAAATAACAATTAAAAAGCCATTTAAAGCTGACCGGGATAAACAAAAGTATACTGAAACACTATAGCCCAGGGGCCTGTTCATCCGTACATTGAATAGTTATAAAATACAAATGCAAACATAAAAAGCTAGAAGTATATATAGACTCTACGTATAAGGCACTAAGAACTGACCATCATTAAAGTAATTACAGACAGGTTACTTCTGAATCTTTTAACGGAGTCAGTTACAAGAGAGTTTCTAATATGGGTTGGAAGATCACTCCAGATACATGGGAAAATGTGGATTGGTGAACGCTTTAAACTTAGAGTCCGGGCATAGTGATGGTTACATAAAAGTGTGTCCCGATGGCAAGCAAATACACTGACAAACCTCACTAACCGTACTTGGCCTAAAATTCAGGGCGCTGCTAAGCATATACTGTCTTACATAATTCACGTGCTCTGCAACAGACAGCTGAAATCAAGCAATCTAAATTAATGACATTGAAACTAAACAAAAAAAGGAGGGTGTTAGCAAAAATATTATGTGCTGAGCAAAACGGCTGTTCTTTTTAGAAGCTCCAAGAAAGTGGGCCCACATCTCGGAGCTACCACGCAGAAAATACTGCTAAACAACTGTACGTGCTAGGCAAACATTAGCCGATAACCAATCATGGCAAAATGTTTCATGCTATTTGGTTGTGTTTTCGTATTTTTGTTTAACTAGTATACTGTTTGTACTCTGCAAGTATTTACTGTGTGAGCAAAATTTCCGTGCTAATCAGCTCCACGAAACTAACCCGTGGCTGCTATACGCTGATGAGCTTTGACTCTACCGAAACAGCTACCTAAAAGCGCATGCTCTTGAAAACGCTCCCGGTATAGTAACAAGTGCGAGTGCACAATATATAAGCTCTAGTGAAAAATGCGACGCCGATGGCACATATGGAACACCATACCTTAGATTTATACCTAGATTTATAGCGATTTGTGATGAACACCAGGTGACCATAACATTACTGCACATATTTTGCCTCCAGCTTTTACGATCTTTTCGTGAGCATTTTTTCCGAATTGTTAGGCCTACAAAGAAGTTTTGTTAAGTATTTAATTTATTTTGCTTGCCTTTTTTGAAAATTAAAATTGGAAGTAATATTTTATGGGAAACTTGGGGGGCTTATTTTGGTAAATTTTCGTGAACAGACATTTGCAAAATAAACGCGCATGCGCATCGATTGAATCAAAATCGGTGCTCTGAAAACCGTCAGCAAGAGTGTATTTTATGACGACGGCATGGCATTTGGTCAATTAGTCAATTATTTTGGTGAATTGTTTTTGGTCAAATTATGGGGCTTATTTTGATCAATTTTGGGGGGCTCATGTCCGAGCTTAAAAGGGTAACAAAGAAAATGTCAAAATCAAAGATCAGTCCCAGAGGGTTCATCCATCAGGTGCGCTGACCACGTTGCCGCGTTAATACGGCCTAAATGGACTGGACAAGATACCCGAACGATTAGTGTTCATTGGCAAAGCGTCGGCATGGAGGTCGATGCCCACACATGCAACTCCCTCCCGTCATAGAGATGACACAAATCCAGCCCATGACAGATGAAACATTCGTCCCTTGCGTCAAACGAAGCCGGCATTTCGTCAGATTTGTCCCGGAAACGACGGGCAGTGTTACCCCTTCTGGGTGAAAACACTCCATCGCACGGGACCAGACAATGAAATCAAACCAAAAAAAGTGTGTCTGGATTACGGTTATCTAACGTGGTAAATCATATGGCAATGTAAGAATATGACTGTTTGCTACTTCAGGCTACTGGAACAAACCGAAAAGATGATTTTTTTTTTGCTTTAATTTGATCATAAAGCGCAATCCAGAATGACTACTTTTAGGCCTGCGGCGCGCGTAACGATCACATTCATCACTTGTCGATGGTGCCAAATCGATCAAAATAATATGTGACAAACTTGCCCGCTTACCTAACCAAAAAAAGAGAGCTTATATAAGGTGCGGATCGTTCGTAACAGCCTAATTGAACTGAATTGAAGTACACTGTCGTCGTGACGTGTCCATTACCAAGAGTAATACGTTTTAATAAGTAAGTCACGTAAATGTGTTGGATTTTCACCACATCAATCAACAGGGTTTTGAATTTAAAATAATGCTTCGCGGCAAAGGCTCAAAAACAATAAATTAACATTATTGTTTTAATATACCACAACTTTAAACATTTACATCAGTTATAAATCCTAATGTATCAAATAATAAAACACGTGACAAACTTGCGCAAGGAGAGGCGGGAAACATTATTCCGTTCATCCAAATGCCGATTTATTAATTTGTTTATTTTGAAGGATGCATATTTCTCAATGATAAGGTTTTGTTCGTTTACGAGCGCCTCAAGCCCATCATCAATGAGACCACAATTGAGACAAAATGTGACTTTTGTTTGTCAACAATGTATTTTTCTTTAGAATTGAGGTTGGGTCAATGAGGAACGCCATATTTTCAAAAATCGGTACGTGTTTGTCTTCACGATTGGGACTGCGTCAATTAAAAAAAAGTCTTAAAATTTATGAAATTTCCGAAAGATGCATGTCTTTCTATACTAATAATGTCCTCTCAGATTCGAAACGTCTGATTTCATACAAAAGTCTGAAAATCTCATGCCTATTTCTTAGCTGACAAGGGTGTTTTTGTCATTGTATTTGTCTGCAGAAGTGAGGTTTTGTTCAGTAAGGAACGCCTATAATGTAAAGAATGAGAAACAATCAAGAGATTCCAAAACGGCATTTTTCTTCTGGAAATTTTCCTTATATTTGTCTTTAGAGGTGAGGTTTTTATCATTGAGGCACTCCCTATATCCAACGCTGAGGGGCAGATAGAAGAATAATAGTAAAAGTAAAACGTTTCTTTTCATCGCATGTCATTGTCTTCAGAAGTGAGGTTTTTATCTGTGAGGAACGACTATAATGCCAACAATGAGGCACAAACAAGAGAGTCCAAAAATACTTTTTCCCTAGGAATTTCCTATATTTGTCTTTAGAAATGAGGTTTGAATCAGTGAGGCACGCCCGTTTCCAAATGTGAGAGGCAAACATAGCGTAACAAATACGTTTTCATTGGATGTATACGTCTCAAGACATGTATTTGTGTTAACTAACGAACGCCTACTATCTGACGATCCGTTTGCCTTGAACTTTGCAATGAGTAAACAAGGATCCATTCGATGGCTCTTGACAAACTGTCAATCAAACACAATAGTAAAAACATATGTCGTGAAACACTTGTATCATCGTAAGAGACCACTCCAACATGTCACTAGTATAATCGCAAACGGCAAAGTCATCCATATCAGTTAATTATTGACAACACTCATTACTACCAACCAAACGCTTTCTGAAACTAAGTACCAGCATTTCTTAAAATAATTTCCTGGCATTTATTTGCTCCTGTTCGCCTAACGAGGCACACGATATGGCGCCACTTAACTACTTCAAACAAATAAAATTGGAAAGGGTCTGAGAGGAACTCTTTACTGCCAATGGCCAAGGGTCTAATTTTAGACTCTGGCACTTATTTTTATCTTTACTGTGAGTATTTTATTAACTTGACTTCAATCGAGTGGTCTTGGCTTAAAAAGTCGTTGCCCCAGTCTGCTAAATTTAGACAATATCACACAAAAGTGAAAAAGCTAAAATAGTATGGAAAAAAGGAGATTGGTATCAACACTGAGGATGAGTTGGTCATGCGTGACCTCATCACCATAAAGAATTGATTTCCCCTTTTGGTCACAGACCAAAAAAAATCAAGTATAAGAAAAAACGGACACACAAGGTCTGGCGATCCAAATAGTTTCACAATGTTTCTGTAAATTTCTAGCTTCTAGGCAGATCAGGTAGTCAAGGATAATGTAGCTTGTTTTGATTGCACAAGAGTGGACGAATTATCATCCATACACATCGTTTTTGACGCTTTCGTCGTCACTTGTTCAGTATACCGCGTTCTGGGGCAAAATCTCTGGGGGGTGGGTAAAGATGAAATATCTTCCCCATTTTTAGCAGGGCGATGAGTCGTGGGTTATCTCTAGCTTTTGTACAGAAGACGTGCATTCTCGGGACTGGAAATTGATTTCCACCGACGAACGCGGGCATGTGCATGTGTGACGCCATCCAATACATCATCTGTGCGCTCATTAACAAAAAAAAAACTATCATAATTTTTTCCCGTCGGAATGATCTTGCCGAGATGGTTAAAAAAAACTGTTTTGCTAATAATCCGCTCTTGGAAAAAAAAAATGTTTTAATGAACTTCCTGTATTCAGTCGGAAAAATGTGGGCCACATAATTTGTTTGTCTAAAAATCCCCCAGAGTTGATGTATCCGAAAGTATTTTGATTGCCTCGTCACGGCAGACCATGTACTTGAGCTACTCAATCAATTACAGTGTTTTTGTGTACAAAAACAGTTGGCCGAAAACAGATGGAAATGAGCCTATTTCGTCAAGTCTGTCCCATTTTCGAGCGACTCTCCGCGCAGTGCTTCTGTTTGTCGCCGCGTTTCGCTGTTGTTTGTTTCAAAACACTTCGATTGTTTTTGTAATGAGTTTCCAATGGTTGCCCACATGCCTTGATTAGGCGGGGAAGTGGGTTAATTGTGCGCGGAGCGGAAGCGCGGGTCTGGAATGCAAAATGAGCACGCGCGCCCTCGGAGACCTGTTGTTTGTTGCATGATCTGGTGATGATGATGATAATGAGGATGATAGGGATGATGATGAGGAGGAAGAGGATAAGGAGGAGGAGGATGGTGGTGAGGATGGGGGATGTGGATGGGGATGAAGTTGAGGATGAAGATGGAGATTAGGGGAAAATGAAGATGGAAATGAAGACGAAGATGAAGATGAAGATGAGGATGAAGTTGAGGAAGAGTATTAAGTGGATGAGAAGGAGGAGGAGGATAATAAGCAGGATGAGGGATGAGGATGGGGATGAAGTTCAGGATAAAGATGAAAATAAAAGTGAGGATGAAGATAAGGATAAAGGTGAGGATGAAGATGAGGATGAAGGTGAGGATGAGGATAGAGATGAGGATGAAGATGGAGATGAAGACGAAGATGAGGATGAAGATGAAGATGAGGATGAGGATGAGGAGGAAGGTCAGGATGAAGATGAGGATGAGGTTAAGGATGAGGATGAGGATGAGGATGAGGATGAGGATGGGGTGAGGATGGGGATGCGAATAGGGATAAAGTTCAGGATGAAGTTGAAGATGAAGATAGAGATGAAGATGAGGATGAAGATTGAGATGAAGATGAGGATGAAAATGGGGTGAGGATGGGGGATGAGGATGGGGATAAAGTTAGGGATGAAGATGAAGATGAAGACGAAGATAGAGATAAAGATGAGGATGAAGATGGAGATGAAGATGAGGATGAAGATGAAGATGGAGATGGAGATGGAGATGAAGATGAGGATGAGGATGAGGATGAAGATGAAGATGAGGATGAAGATGAGGAGGAAGGTCAGGATGAAGGTGATGATGAAGTTGACAATTTGGATGAGTATGAAGACGAAGATGAAGATGAAGATGAGGATGAAGATGAAAATGAAGGCGAGGATGAAGTAGAGAATGAGGACGAGGATGAGGATGAGGATGAGGACGAGGATGAGGATGATGAACAGTGGATAACGAGAACGAACGAAGCGAGGCTGGCGGGCCTGTAGACCTCCGGCGTGCAGACAGTTTTTTTTTCCCCATCTCGGTAAAGTCATTCACCCTAATAGGCAGATGATCCATTTTTTGTTTAAGTTGCGCCTTGAGACAATAGATATTGCTTCGCTATACATGTTGTGACAATGTTGATCAACATTTACATGCTTACAATCTGTTGATATCAAAACAAATTTGTGCCAAAGTGACATCGGGAGACGTGAATTTAAAGGCAAATTATTAGCATTTTAAATTTGCACAATTATGGCTATAAACATGACCGTAACTTCAGTCGTTACCATTGCCATAACCATTATCATTGCCATGATAATCATACTTTCACCTTAACCCATGACATATTAAGTATAACCATAACCATTATCGTCAGCATGTTACCGTCACACCTACTCACTTCCATCATCAATTCCTCAAACCATTACAAGAAAAGCCAGTTACCATAAGCATTACAAGACATATAGATGTATGACTATAACCCTAACTCTAATTATTGCCATAACAATACTATATCCTAACCATAATAATAAAGCTAATCAAAACCCATCCATGCTAAACCGACACGAGGTTTTATTTCCAGATTTTTTATTTCTTCGTATCACTTACAGAAAGGTTGGAGTGGGACAACGTGGCAAAGAATCTACCACATCGCCAAAGTGATCGTGACGTACATCTTTCCCCTGGTGCTCATGGGCGTGGCCTATGCCCTAGTTTGTCGTCGGCTCTGGTCTGGTATCCCGACGGACGAAACCCAGAGACACGAAGCGGGAGGGCGATCAGCTGGACACAGCAAGCCAACCGTCATAAACAAGGTACACAAAACTGTCGAAAAGTTGCTTTAAATTTGAAATTCTGCTTCTAAGTCCTGATGTTATGTCCTTTACGTATTATATTAATTTGGCACTTCTATTTCTCATTCTTGTTTTTTTTCGGTGTCATGTTTTATAGGCGTTTACTCCCGTTCATGTGATTAAGATGTGGCTCTATGCGTCCGAAGTGGACATCGCTAATTTGTGATGTTTATTCGTAAAAATAACAATCTATTTTGTCGATCATGGTATCGACCTGGGATTTGGCAAGTCAACTTTACTCTTTACAGACATTTATGTTGGTCGAACTAAACATTGTTTATGTCAACTTTGTCGACTCATCAGATTCGAACAATGGGAAGTAGGCGGATCTCACCCAAACGCTGTCGATCGTGAGATTGATTCATTGTTCTCGAACCATTATGTGACTCTAATGTAACTACCAGTGTTAAAGTCCATCCTGCCTATTGTGTCTATCTTGGTATAGACAATGGAATTTTACAACTATGTTGAATTTGACTACCATTGCGTCGACTCAGATTTGGCAATCTGTCGATTGCGTAGACTCCAGCTTCGAATTTAACAATCCAGGTCTTCTTTGTCCAACTGTTTTCTCTTCAGTCGACGGAAACGCAGCTGGAGTCAAGACGCAAAGTTGCCCGGATGTTGATCGTTGTGGTGGTCATGTTCGCTATCTGCAACCTCCCCACCCATGTACTCAATCTGATCAGGTCAGTGTTTTCTACTTCTTTTATTTGATTTTATTCTATTAATTTAGTATCTTATAGACATACAAGTATCACTTGTTTCCTCACCGTAGTAGCCACGACGCCATTCAAAATTCACCATCCCATGTAGTCAATTTGATAAGATAGATGTTATCTAGTTTTTATTTAGCCAAATTTTTGCTTTTGTCTCGTAGCTGTCATTATCTCATTGGTGACTTAACACGTATCGAATGGACAGAAACACGTTATTTCTTGGCTCGTTGGCCAATTCTTTGTCGTGACATGGAGTGGACATGGTCGATGCGATGTATTATTGTAGGGTGATAAACTTCTTAAAGAACCCCAAGAGCATCGTTATATTCTTGTATTTCTCAATCCTGAAAGCGAAAATACGGACATGATGAATATGATTAGTGCAACTCCAAGGCAGTTTACGCGTTTTACTCATTTTAATTCAGTTTTTCATTCAGAGATAGGCCTTAACAAAAACAAATTATCGTTGAATGTTGGGTCCTCCTTGCAGCATTTTGTGGCTCGTCGGTGATAACGTGCCACCAGAATGGCCAATTGCATATTGTTTTTCCCTTCTTTTTTTTGGCTGGTTAGTTTTTTTACGAATGCCATCTTTGTACTTTTGACTCTGATGTCATCACTGTCTGAACCTACATCTGGGCTGATGTCGATATCCATCACGTGATCCGGGTTCTGATCAACAACTTGATCCCGCTCATCCGTGGCTTTGGTGTGTATTCCCCCCTAATCTTCTCGGCTCTGTTGAGGCTGTGCCGTACCGATCGGGTGTCTAGGGGCAAACACGTTGACCCACATTCTCTAGATTACTCAATAGGGGCCTACGCCGTCTGCTGTTTCAGGAGGGTTTGATGCTTGCTGACTTGTCACAGAGGGAGGTCAGCGCATATACATCCCCAGCCCCCAGGGGAGGCTGTAGCCTTACTTCAGGCGACTGACGAGCAAGACCCTTGTGTCACGACTCAGGAATCGGGCGAAATTAAGAATACGACTGGAATTCCCTCTACGGATCCACAGAATTGTAAACACGGATTCTTCACTCATAGAATCCTGTTTATATCCTCAACAAGCCAGTGCTTTTCTGCAATCCTGCCCGGCGCCTCAGATCACCTTTGCCTCTCTGAATAATAATGACAGATGCTGTGCGAACGTAACCCACACAAAAAGATCGAGAAATCCAAGAGACATGGGAGGGATAAACATTTTGGTCCGGCCCCGCACCGGGACAGGTGAGCAAACAGACGGCGGAGCCATGGACAGGGTTCTCCCGGGGACCGAGATACCATGTCGCATCAGATCGAGTTACACGATGAGGGAGTTGAGGATTTCGAGTCTGTCCCTCGTTGTCTCTGACGGGCCTTGTTGCGCGGGCTATACAGAACGGGATTACCGATGCAACTCATCAATCTGACTGTGGCTATCGGTGTCAACAATGAGCCGTGTCCCACCAACTCCTCGCCCTATCAATCTTTGCACGAAATCTCCATATTGGATCCAAACCGAAGCTCCATTTGCAAAAAAAAAGACTTATGCGGATGGTTAATATACGCATGTTGCCAAGCTCTTATATAAGCTTCATTGAAGTGGCCGAGCCTTCCAAGTACTACCACTCTTCCAATGAGAAGGGCCAATTACTTCATGTGTTAAGGGCATCAAGCTACGACAAGTTACATTGCTTTGTGTGGACGGTCGTCAATGTTCAGCACATGTCACTTAGCTTCAAAAGGCTGAGATAATTTGCCAACATCTATTGCAGCAGGCGCACAGCGTTTATCCATGTTTGATAAGAGTGCAGGTATTCAACTTAACACACGTTGTCGACGGAGAAATGTCTACAAGAAGAACTTTAAACAGTCTTACGTTTCTTTTCCTAAGACGCTTTTTAGTCCGGTTTGCGATTCCGTCGATAGCATATATTATACCTAAACACGCAGCGTGCAACCTGACTAGAGAGACGGCAACATACCTGTGCACGCACGTGCATTGCTCTATGATACCAGATCAATCGTTCTACTCGGTTTACAAGTATTGCCCAACTTAATTTCACCGATACCGTTTGGGGCAAAATAGTAAGCGCTATCACGTTCCTGCAAACAGTTAAGAAGCTGTCTGATTTCGATTGAATTGAGTGGCTTTGTCCTTCTGGCCTTTCACTTAAATATGAAGCATTCTGTTTCCCATACACGCCTAGTCGGCGAAAATAAATTTCATTTGACAAGTATCAGTCTATACGAGCTGTTAGGAATTCACGCCGAATTCCCAATCGACCCCGACGTCGGGACTAGAATGCGAACGTGTGGCCGTTGAGAGAGTTCTTCTTGATTAATATCGATTCACGCTTTTAAGGAAGCTGTTTGGTCACATTTCTCCACAATTTATCGGAACTGCACAGTGGCGGGTGATGACACAAGATAAACAGTTTTGGGAAGCGTGCAGCAGAAAACTGGCGATGAGTTCAATTTTCAACCGCTCAGCTGTAACATAAAAGATAAAAGGCGGATGATATCTTTTTGATCGCGGGCCGCCGTCGTAAGTACACATTTCGGTACTACGTTCTTTATTAAAGAAACTGTCCTTTTTTCGGACCACTGAAGATGCGTTTCGAGCTGGAATTTTACGCACGATATATTATCCTGACTTGTGTGGAAGAGAGGAAGACCTTTTTTCTTTAGCAATTGCTTGTTTTTACAAGCAAACAAACGTCAAGGCTCCTTGGTCATTATTCTAAGAATCCAGTGAGCTGAAAAAAAAATCGTAGGGCATTGTGCAATGCAAAGATATAATTATATCGAAATGACTTATGTTGACCAGGAAAAAATAGACGACTTCTCATATGACGTCTACTTGTGTTTGGTCATTAACAGAAACAAAATGCAAGTAAACAATTTGAACATGACGGACCGATACCCATTCTTTCTCAACAGGACACCTCGCAGACGCCCTCTCGAGGCCTGACAAGGACAGATACAAATTCCCTAGACTGCCATTCCTGGAGTGTTCACTCCATTTCTTATTCACAACATAATACACGTACTACACAGACGTGTAAACATCAGAGAGCCAATGAATTCAGGCCTGAATCAAGGCTACTATGCACCCAGTAGCTTATGTAGGGTGTCAAACAAAATCCAAGAATTACCATCAAAACACGAGTCCATCATTTGCGCGTGTATTGATGTTTCACAGAGGCCGGACAATCACCCTGGGGACAAGTTTCTTTATTACACCGAACCGTCAGGAATAGATAGTCTTAAAAATTCAGCCGTTAGCTATTGCACGATTTTTCCTTCGCGAGAAATCTTCAATTTCGACAATGAAATTACAGTTTCCGGTCTTTCAGGCTTTCTTAAAATATTGCCACTTCCGGATAAGGTTTAGATTTGCGGCGAACCTCCGGATCTGTAATTGAATTCACGTTTTGGCCCGTGGGCCTCAGGCTATAATAAGGGTACTGACCATCATCACAATTCACTTGTTACAATTCACTTGTTAGAAAATCCATTGGTGTACTGTACAGTCGAAAAAGGACGGACGTTGGCGCGGGGCATTTTGCCACGCATAACGTGAAAAGGCAATTGTTTTACTAGGTCTTTTTGTCGCGACGTTCAATTTTTCTGTTACTTTCACGGCTAAATTTGTCACTCAAGTATGAGTTTGCTTTGCTTGAAATTCATGGACTTAGAATTATAAATTTAGGTTTTATCCATTACATGTGCAGAGATAAATCTTTTACTATGTGGTGTTTTTTTGTGTGACAATTTGGGAAAAATATTATTGATTTGTCGAACGGTCAAACAATCCACAATCAATTGTTCTTTCACCAATGAAATGAAACCACTGATCCATCAAAGCCATGTAATAAAAGAATCTCAATTCAGCAACCAACAAACCATCCATGACGCTAATCAATCGAGCAATTACAAAATTTCAGTCAATTTCAATTGCAAATTTGAACCTGAACATATTCTAGTATCTGCTCTAAACAGATAATCCAGACATCCACAAACAGACGTGGAAATCATGTTTTTGTTTGCAGCAAGTCACGTCCGTCACAAACCCATCAGGGGAAAAAAACATTGGCCCATTACGCCGCTGTGTTTGCGTAATTAATTTACGGAAGGCAAGTAAAAAAAAAAAAAAAAAAACACGCACAAAGTTTGAGCTTGGGATCTTTTTATCCATAACAACAGTATCAAGTTCGAGGGAAGCCCCAAGGCGATGGCTCGAGCTCCCACCATCGTGGAGGCGGACAAAAGACGTGGGACAATACCCACGCCTATCGCTGACACATGGTACAATAGGACCGTGCGCCGTATTACTGGCTATTTACTGGATATAGTGTTACATTCAAGCCATCGTGCCTCAGGTGACGCAAGTGTCAGTCTGGAAATTTTACACAGGATGTCAGTATCTAAATCTTAATCTTCGGCTTAATACGACTTTAGATTGTATTCATTCCCTATTTTTGTCTGTATGACTCAAAATATATCATTACACAATTTGTGTATACATTTTCGTCTCATTAGCTGCCCATCAATATGACATTGTATTATTTGATGATTGGCCATAGACATGTATAGTTCATTCCTCTTTCACGTGGTCGCATAAATTATAACAGGTTTCCTGCACATTTAAGACAATGCAACTCCCATGTGCGTCGCGGGAGGGGGGGGGGCGGAAAGCAAAACAAAAAAAGAGAGAAATGAGATGCAAAATCATATTGCTGTTAATTTAATGCACATTTGACGACATGGGCGTCCGCAGGGGTGTCAATGGGGGTGGGGTGGGCAAGTGTCCTCCCACCCACCCTCGAAAAAAAATTGATAAATTGAGAATATGCTACAAAATATACAAGGTTTTTGGGAAATAATGTGCTTTGCCCCCTGTAGAAAAAAATCCTGGCGACGCCCATGGCACTTATTTCCATGACTTTTCATGACTTTTCCATGGCCAAATAAGGAAAATATATGACCTCGTTTATCAAAATACAGATTCAAATTGTAAAACCTGTTCCGTGACGAGTGCTTAACAGAATGTCTTTCAAAATCCAAATGCTCCAAATCCAAGTTAAAAGCGAAATTTCTCGCCAATTATGTACCGTAGGTCTATATAAAAAGTCAAAAATTTAGAATTCCATTACTTTAGTCACTTTTTAGAAATATCAATGACTTTTCCAGGCCTGGAAATTGAAAACAAAATTCCTTGAACTTTTCAGGTTTTTGCCAGGCCGCGGGAACCCTGTATACAATTTAAACATAATTATATTTAATAAACATTGTTTTTCAAGAAAAAGTTGCGTCGAGGACTTCAAGATGTTTGGTTTCAAATAAAGTAACTGCTTTTAAATGCCTGGATTTTTTCATAAAGGTTTTTTTTTTTATTACGACTGAGGGCGCTCTTTATGTCATTCAGAGCAATATGTACAGAAGGCTCGAATGCTGTGTATATCGAGTCACAGGCAGTTATCAAAATGTGTATCATGAAATTATATTCTATAACTTATTCCAGGAATAAGTTAATTGATTTTGTTATTCTCGTTTAAATGAGTATTACACAACCAAACTAGAAAGCACTCAGAGAGCGCAAACCTCCGCCAAGACAAACAAATTCCCCGCCATATTGTCCAAACACCCAACAGAAATACTCGAATAAATGGTGAGGAATCTTTTTAAAAAAATCTTGGATCCAGACCCAGATCCGGATAACTTGTAATATCTAATTGATTTGTACTTGTACCAAGGACCACCCCTAAAAAATATTGATGCAAATCCCTTCATAACTTTTCAGTTATCTTGTTAACGGACAAACCAACTAACCAACCAACAAAATCTTATGAAAACATAACCTCCCGGAGGTAATTACACATAATTCGGTTTTGTAAGGGAAAGAGGCTTTACAGACCTTAATCACGAGTAAGCCATATTTGATCGTGTTCACTAAATGTATTTTATAAATTGTGAACTGTTGAATGGGATGGCGCCAGACTATTTATGCGTCCCACGCCTCACTTCCATTTTGCTTTGATGTGGCTTAAAACATAATGGCATATATAATCACACATTTTTAATTATTCATCACTAAGCAGACTTGTATTAATTTGTAAATAACCTTATTTCATTGTTTTCAGTTCTATTCTCAATTTCCCCCCAAAAAATGAGATTTTACTTCCCTTTCAATTTAATATGGCCGACCCGTGAATAGGTCTCTAGCCTACAGTGCGTGGTTTATTTCCCGGCCCACTAATAAATTGACACAAGTTGAGGAGTTGATGGCGATAAGCTACTGCAGCTATCATCTAACACGTGTCTGGGGGTAATTCGAACTGCCGAGGCAAACATTAAAACGGTACAATTCAAATCTGGCTAATCTTTCGGAGGCGAATTTGATACGCGTGTTTATTTTTTCTTCGTCGCACCATTGGGACAGGACACATTTGTTTATATAATTTGTTTGTGAGATGTGCTACTGTATGCCTACAACGATGGAAATATATTACATGAAAAGGCTGTCTCAAAATGCGAATGGGTTCAAATGGGTTCAGTACGCACTTTTTGAGTTGTCTTCACTGACTTCACTGTGTATTTAGTTTGAATTATATTTTATGTTGGCATGTCCATTTCCTCTGCAAATTTAATTATTGTCATGCGTCTTGTTTTTATGTACCTAATAACAGCGGTTCTAGCCTATTCTCACATGTGACAAAATGGATAAATAATAGATTTGATTTGCCGTACTACTGGATGGGCATCGACTTTATAATATTAATAATAATAATACCGGAGTCTTATATAGCGCACGTATCTACCAACAATCAGGGACTCAATGCACTAAATTATGTCTATTATTAAAGACAGCTAGGTAAATGTTATTTTTATGAGAAATATGAGACCCATTATGTAGCACCTTATAATGGTTTACAAGGTGCTGCGGCGCATAGAGCAGCCACGGCCAGAAACACCGGGCCAACCCCTTCTCTTAGCGATAAGTGTTAGTTGGTTCTTTAACGTGCATTACACAACACACGGGACCTACATATACATACATATATTTTAATAAATGTAGGCCTGTAAAGTGGAATCTCTATTCCATCTAACGGAAAATAGATTGCACAATGTCTTTCTCTACGAGTCATTACAGTTAACCTTATAGTAATTATTTCTAAGTTTTTATGAGAAATATGAGACCCATTATGTAGCACCTTATAAGGGTTTACAAGGTGCTGCGGTGCATATAGCATCCACTGCCAGAGACACCGAGACTAACCCCTTCTCTTAGCGATAGTAATTATAGTAATTATTGCATATAGAAGAATATGGGGAAAGAATTCAACAGTTTGTGCACCACACTGTAAGGCAGTGAATTAGCACAATGCAGATAGAATGTGTTTATAACTGCAGTTTTTGAAGTTGTGTTTGAGACTGGGAAACTGCCCAAAGCTAAGTATTTTTGTTTTCTTTTAACACTGCAGGCACATGGAGGGCTTTAAGCCGAAAGGCGACATGGACCCGCACGACAACGGCGGCGATGGGCTACTGGTGGCGTTCGTGATCGCCCACTTCATGACGTACTTCAACAACGCCATCAACCCGATCATATACAACTTTCTGAGTGGTGAGTCGGCCTCTCAGGCTGGAAGAGATTTTTGTCTTAAATGTGGCAGCCATTACTGGGGGGTCATCCTACATTGAATGACTGTACCCCCAAAAAAGTCCCACTTTCCCCGCCCTCCAGTGGAACTTTCGTTGTTTGCATAACATCACCATGTTTAAAGAAAGCGAATTTACATTTGCTGAACAAGATTGATTTACATCGCAACGTCTATAACCAATATTGTGAGCTATTATCCCACGTAATTAGCCTACATAAGAGCCCATTGCTATAGTATATCCTTATGGTTTCTGTTTCATCTGACGTGCAAGAATCTCCTATTACTCCTACATAACGAAGAGAAACAAGCCTCACACAACGTGTTCCTTGAGTTGTTCATGCGGTTTACACATACCATGCATGCAGTGAAATTTGCAAGTACATTTATAGACTAAAATTGCTGACAGGTAAAATTTTATCAGCTAGGGAAACTCTTAAAAGTTATAAAACTTCAAAAATTTGCCGTGAGTTTAAAGAACAGGCTACATTGGTCAGCAAGAATAAATAGCATATTTTGTTTGCAAGACTGGAATTGTCATTCTTGTGCGTACCAATTTTGTGATCGCTACAAACAGGCTTGCGATTCAAGTGATGCAAATACCAGTGGCACTCATGGATCTACGACACACTGTATATAATGAAATAATACAGAGATGCTGCGAACAAAAAAAATGCCCAAAGGTCAAGATGCTTTGATCATCTTGAAATGCAAGAATGCTGCAAATTGCCAAGAAAGTTCAATCAGTCGAGCGCGTGAGGACGGTGATGCTTTTGAAACATTCCCCGGTACCCGCGAGGAGTCAAATAGGCGTGTATCGACCGCGCCCTGAGGGTTCAAATTGGCTATGCATGCGTCCATTGCCGGCCACCGTATTGTGCCCGTGCCCTTCCATAATCCGCCACCAGATAGCGGATTCTCCCAGGCCAATGAAATGAATGATGATTGAAATGTTAATTGTAATTACCGACTGCTGTTTCATGTGACATGACGGATCGATGACGGCAACTGGAAACAGGCTGTATTAGCGTGTAACCGAGTTTATTTCTAATTGACTGTACTATATGTCCTTATCGTTGCAATGGACACATCAGGAAAATTATACAATAGGAGACTAATATAATTGCATACCACATGAGGTGTCGGATAATCAAGTTTAAAGACTCGAAAACGTACATGACGCCGAGAACCAATCAAAATGGTGGGGACTTACAGAAGGACAGCGGTTTATTGTGAGAGACTGATAGAAACAGGTGGTATATGAACAAACCCACTTCTTAAGAGTATTAATATCTTGTCAATAGAGGGCGCTTACGATAAAGTATACACATCAAGTTTACACATGCAGGCTGTATTACGTTAGTTAAGAGTTTTACCTCATTCACCTAATCTTGCATACAACCAACATTTCAAACCCGCATTGCAGTCACGTATCTCCAATGCTCTCTGTAGTGAAATACGATCTTTACGCAAAACGCCGCATGTTCAAAACTAGGGCCACCCTAATCTTCAAACAGCATTGGGTTTTACATCACGAAGTTATGCACGCCGACGCACCGATCGAGCGCTACAAGCTGACCTGAAGAAACACCAAGGCACAGCGGGAATTAATGCAGACATTTGAGTAACATAATCGTTGAAATGTTAGATATTGAGCGTCCTTACTCATTTAAAAATGTTCCTTGCTTCTGACTTTAACCGGCATGTGTCACTCAGCGAAGCTAGCAGCATTACTCTAAAGAGATCCCATTGACATTCCATAGTGCGAACCACGAGTTGTCAGTTATGATGTGATCGACAACAACAACAACCTCGCTTCTTGTAAGAAAAAAAGGACTTTTTGTTACAAAAAAAACGCTTTTGTCTCATATCACAATACTGCAATAATATTGCCGGAAAATGGTACCTTTAGGTAGACATTCCCATAGACTTGTGAAGAACTAAAGCCTTCCCATAAACCCATTTGTAAATACTCCATGCCCAAACTTTTTAATAAAATTACTATTCTCCAGCTAGGATCGTTTTAATTAAGAAACACTAAAATGTGTTCTAGAAATGAGTTCTAGAAATAACCGCCATTCCAGAACTCACCTCAGGGAGACACTAAACTTATTACCGATATCTCACTAACTATAAGACTGTCTACCTAAGGACTGGTAACATATATTTAATTGTAATATAGTACTATATTTTGAACATAGATTACTGTATAATGAACACAAAATATCGCTATGTCCGACCAATCGATTATGCATATTTAAATAAGGTGAATGTTGGACAAACGATTCTGTTGCTAGACAACTCAGTGTTGAGTTGTACTTTTTTGTCCCCTCAGTCACGCCACACATTATATATCTGATCTTTAATAATTACGAAATGTGGTGATAACGAATTCAACAGTCAACACAACTGAATTTACGCCGCGGTCAGTGATTTATAATACTAGGAGTATCCAATCCTTGCAAAGCCTTGAGGATTACCATGCACTGTTTCTTCGTAAATACGGTGGATCCTTTACGCTGCTTGTGCCTATACGTGAAAAGGACTGATTAGCCAATTCAGCAGGCCAACCGATTGTAATTGTTTACGAGTATTTATAGGTTTACCTGGCTATTTTAAAACATTTTTCATTCAAATTCACCAACTCTACAATTCAATTTCGAACCCCCACAAAAAATTCACACGCTTTATGACCAAAACCAATTTAGTCATATGTCACTGAATAAAATATTTAATCGAAACCTATTTTAAGAAGATAAAATCAAACGACACACACAACAAATTTCTCGGCTATTTTTACACATTTTTCATTCAGATTCACTAACTCTACAATTCAATTCCGTCCGAGAAAAATGTCACACGCTTTTACCAAAACCAATTAAGTCATGTGTCATTCAATCAAATATTGAATCTCAACCTACTTTAAGAAGATAAAACCAAACGAAACACACAACAAATGTATGACGAAACAGGGAGAGCAAAAGTGGAAAATTATTCTGATCAGCGGCCTATGCCTTCTACTGAAGATATTGCAATGAAGTATGACGACCTTGAACAAAATTATGATTAAATTGAGTGGGAATAAGACAAACTTGACTAGAATCAGTGAATTCGAATGAGAAATAGCCGGGAAAATCTTTTGAATTATCTTGCACAGAAAACGGCCGTTGGGAGGCTAAGTCCTCGACACCTGCGGTGGCATTTTGTCAAATGTGTTATTAAATGTTTGAAAGTGGATAACATTATATTGACTACTGATATTCTAGAAGTTCATAATATAAATACCCGTATTATGGCGACCGCAGGTTAAACAGTACTGAGAAACAGCCGTTGGCTGATATGGGGTGCAAATTCACGCCCAAAGCGAACGTTTCACATGAATACGGTATATGCATTTAAATGATCTTCAGTACGGCTTACTGTCTCTAATTTATCGATCTGCATGTCATTTTGAACCTTATAACATAAAACTTTCTTTCCTGTCAGGAGTTGAGCCGAAGGATTTCTTCGACCGCAATTGATTTTTTTTTTCTAACTTCTTACTTTTCGTGAAAGAAAAGTTTTAAATTAAAACACTGACCGTTATCAAACTGCTATAGCAATGGAATAGAGGGCGCCCTTATAATGTTATTAAGGGGATAGTATCGTAGGTAAAACGAGCTAAATCATGTTTCCTTTATTTAAAATGTGTATTTTACACAATTTGACTGTACGGTTTATCCAGGGCTGAAGGTACCATGTTCCAATAAGGGAACCAAAACTTATTAGGGAACCAAAATTTATAAAACCAAAGACATAACAGTTGACACATAAATTTTTATTACACTTAGGTTAATTAAATACCAGTCATAATGCATTTAGTTGTATTATTCTCGAGTTTGGCGTATTATTTTCTCAGGCCTTTTGAAAAGTAGCTCAGCGAAATATTTGATTTTACAAATCATTCCAAAATTAATCAGCTGCATTCATAAGGAAATGTTCTGTAAATGATTTCAACTCAATTCTAATGTTTTGAACATAGGCCTGAATTTAGCTGTGCCTGAATTTAACTGTGACTGTCCTAGCCTCGAATGTATGAAACATTTTTTTTTCAAGTTAGCGTTGTCTTCGAAATATACGAGTAGTCTGATTTTTGGACGTACAGTTAAGTCTAACCTGAATATGTGACATTAACCCTCCTGCTATCGTAATAGTCACAAACAGTTAAACTAAAATCAATCCCATTCCCTCCCATGCCATGCCTATTACACAAATAGTCAGATCATATTTTCAAGCAAGCACTGTGACTAGTCAAATTCAGTCAACGACAATAGCAGGCAAGTGGTGGGCACAGCTTGCCTATCAATCACCTACAATCAAAGCATAGCTGTGTCACAGTTAGTCAATCCTTCTTTATGTAGACTGGGAGCTCCTAACTGTTAAAAACCCTCACTTTATTGATTTTGACTGAAAGGACAACTTTGTGCAGAATGTATATTTACATAGTGTTGAAATACATATTGTGCTGGCCTAATTAGACAGATAATTCAAAGTAGGCAACATGGATACCGGATATTGGGAACTAACTTAAGAGTCAAGCTATGGAGGGCGCTAGACTATTTAAGTCTAAATGAATCGTCTCATCAAATATACAAATTTGTTTACAACAAATTATACTGAACATCAGGGTGACCGTTTAAGCCGAATTTCGGCTAAATTTTACAGAATTTTGTGGAAAAAACGTGTTTGACAGAGAATTTAGCAGAATGAATTTTTTCAGAAGAATTCTGTAAAATTAGTGATTCTGGCAGGAAAATATGGCAGATTTGTAAACTATAGCTGATATGTTTTGAAAAAAGCTTCAATTGGAGGTTCCCTGATGTGTAAACACAGTAAAGACATTAGAAGCCAGGCTAGACTCGCGCCAATCGAAATTTTATGAGTTTTGTTTTTGTTTGAGGACCTTTTATAACATAATGCATGTGAG